GCAGCTGCAGCCCAGAAATGCTAACAAGCCGTTCTCCCTAGGAGTGGGCCACACTCAGCTGCGAACCACTCACCATTTTCTCACTTTACTTTGCTCCAGATTCAGAAGTTATGTGTACTGCAGTGATTCCTCTTTTTCTGGCTTTATATGTTCAGAACTGTCTTCCCAAAAAATTGACCTTACAATTAATGTCTGCAATCAAGAGGGCATAGTGGTACCTCTAGTCATATAGGTAGATATCTCAGTTTATCTGCCCTGAGGGTAAGCAGCCTCTTCCTCTTAAAAAAAAAAATACAGAGGGTACCCAAAAGAGTATACATTTTAAAAAGGGGGAAAACTGTATTAAAAGTATAGTACTCACTATATACCAATAACAAAAGATGAATACAAGTCACCTTTGACTTCTGCAATTACAAGAGGTACTCAAAGTCTAGACATTTCTGATTACAGCAAACATCTCTTAAAATGTATAACATTTTTTGATACCCTCAGTATATATTATTTACAAAGAAATTGAAGCATAAAGGATAGTTTAGCTTAAACACTCAGCATAAAAGTAGCCAGTCTTTCTTATTTTTTGAGACAGGGTTTTGCTCTGTCTCCCAGAGTGCAGTAACACAATCATTACTCACTGCAGTCTCCAACCTTCGGAGCTCCAGACCCTCCCACCTCAGCTTCCCAAGTAATTGGGATTACAGGTGCATGCCTGTATAATTTTAAAATTGTTTGCAAAGATGAGGTCTTACTCTGTTTCCCAGGCTGGTTTCAGACTCCTGGACTCAAGCAATCCTCCTGCCTCTGTCTCCCAAAGCACTGAGATTACAGGCATGAGCCACTGTGCCCAGCCCTAGACAGTCACAATGACAATTTTTATTTATAACTTAACACTGTTTTATTAATCCATGACTAATATGATTCTTTAGATTATTTCTTAATTCTCTGAACAGCTTAAAAGAGAGAAAATCTTAGCTCCTTTTTTATCTACTTGCTTTGAAGTTGATACTCTTGATTTTTACATAATTCTTTAGCTCTGACAGCTTCTCTTACAATTAAAAATCCTTGTAGTTTTCTTTGAGGAGAAGACTAAAATAGATATAATCCTTATTATATCTATTTTAGTCTTCTCCTCAATCAACTACTAAAAGAAGACTTGCCGCTTGGAAAAAGAAAGAAAGCACCTTCTGTCTAGTCCTCTTCTCCCAAAGTCGCCCATATTTCCCTTCCCTCAAATCATCACCATTGAAGTGCTTGATTATCTCTCGCGAAAAAAGTAATTTTTCACTCTAAGTACAAATACCTCAACACAAATTTGCAATAACAGGAATATATAAAGCAACAAAATGATTACTATTCACAATAGACTTCCATTACATGAGTTTCACAATCATTGGATTCCTGAAAAAGAACAATGCATATAGCACTCAATATAGAGTGTTACCCAACTGAGTGTGATTTAATGTTTTCACTGTATATTTTTAAAGAAGTGTCTTTCCAACACGAAAGAAAAATCTGAAAAATTAGAATCAATAATATTCTGTGTCTTAGTAACAGAAAAATCAAACTTCTATTACTAAGTTTGGTAACAGAACAGGACCCTAAATTCTTTTCTGAGCCACCTGGGTCACCATGTGATACTGGGCATATCACCCTCAACGTCTCTTCACCAGCACTGCTGCCAATCAGTCTCCCTAACCTTGCGGAATCACAGTGTGAATAACAAGGATGAACATAAGACACATTTATGGGAATTATGAGAGTGAATGATAGTCAAACTTCTTCCTTATTTTAAAATATTGTGATAACTACAACCACTAGTAGGAATATAATTACTATCTCCCCCATATAACTATGATGTTACTAAGTTTACAACGTACTTTGATATATCTTATTTCATCTGCATGGCTGCTGTTTATTAATACAACAAATAATTCTCTGTGCCTGCGGCATTCTTTTCTAAATTTTTTAATAAAGACAGGGGGTCTCACTATTTTGCCTAGGCTGGTCTTAAACTCCTGGCCTCAAGCAATCCCAAAGTGCTGGGATAACAGGTATGAGCCACCACACTTGACCATCTGCAGCATTATTCTTAATGCCAGTTCTACAGAGGCTAAAACAGGCTCAGAGAGGTTAAGTAACTTACCTAGGCTCTGTGGTTGTCCAGAGCTCCTAATGCAGTGGTTTCCTAACTCCTTGTCCTTTCATCAAAACAGAACTGCCCTAGTTTCTATCAAGCCCTAGTTATGATATAGTGTATTAGACTAATTTCAACTATGTTTTTTTTTCTTTCTTTCTTCTTTTTTTTTTTTTGAGTCAGGGTCTCATTCTGTTATCCAGGCTGGAACACAGCTCACTGTATCCTTGACCTCCTGGGCTCAAGTGATCCCTCCTCCTCAGCCTCTGAAGTAGCCGGGATGTAGCCATCTGCCACCACACCCAGGGTATTTATTTTGCTTTACTTTTGTAGCGATGCGATCTTGCTATGTTTCCCAGGCTGGTCTCAGACTCCTGGGCTCTAGCAATCCTCCTACCTCAGCCTCCCAAAGTGCTAGGATTACAGGTGTGAGCCACCGCACCCAGTCTCAACTGTGATTTAACGACTGGCCCTGGCTTTATATGGCTCTACTTATCAAACAATAAGAGCATTTTAACCTAAGGCTTTAGCACTTTTCAGATAATCACAGCCAAATGAGAAGAGTAATGTGACAGGCAGACTGAACAAAGACTTGGTGAGAAGGGAAAAAAGAGGACAGAGTAGTTTGAAATCCTTCCAGTCATATGGTATAATTGCTGCCCTCTGTTCACACATAAGCCTAGGTAGAGACAGGGCCATATCTATGCTAGAGTCTAGCAAAAGGGTTGCCACCTCTGCGTGTGACAGTGTGCTGTGACCCACTCCCCAAACCCTCTGTAGCTCCTGGAATCTCATTAATCACACTTCTCTAGGAGAGAAATGGTGCCCTCACATCACATTCAAGGTATGACCTAAAGATTGTGTCTTTAGCCAGTGCAGAGCAGAGAGAGACATCAAATGATTCAGGCAGTCACTTGACTCGAGCCACACACACACAAAAACAACTCCTTTCCTTCACATTATCCAAGAAATTGTTCTTCATTCTGCCTTGCTCTGAAGACAGTTAATGGGAAAAGCTCCTCCCTCTGCACAGGGAATAAATCCATTCACAATTCCTACCCTGTGGCAAACGCTGCCACTCCTCCTCCTCCTCTCTCCATCCCTCTGTGAGCAACTCTCACTTGGCAATCTCTTCCGCAACCCATGGCAGCTCCAGTGAAGCACACACGTTAGACAGCCACATAAAAGACAAACAGTGAGTCTGGATCAATCTCAGAACATTTACATTCAAACACAGAAATCAGGAGAGACAAGAAATAGGGTTAAATCTCCCAGATTTAGCTGTCCACCCTAATTAAACTTGCCAAATAATCATTCAGCTCTCATAGACACCAGCTATTCTCTGATCAAGCTGTTATCTAGCAGCTCCTAACGCTTCCCAACCTTCCCCTTAGCAGGGCAGGGAACAAACAGGCAATGACAATATTTGGACAGTCCTCTGGTGTAACAGGTGGGGATTTAGAATCTCTGAGAAAGCCAGCCCCAGGCCATTTGGGCCACTTCAGACCCTGCTTGCCTAGACACTGAAAGGACTGAGGAAATGAATTTTGTGGTGACCAGCTGGGACACTTAATCCTTGTAACCCACAGCCTAATGTCCTCTTACCAAGATGCTGTCTCATCTCACCCCGAACTCAGCCAATCCACTTGGTCTTCCTTCTCCACCCCATCACTGACCCATCAATCCAGCAGCACTCCCTCCCAGGGAAACACCACTCCCCCTCCTAGGCTCCCTCCAGCCAAATGCTCTGTTCCATAGGTGCCTTTTTCTTCATTCTCAGGTGAACCAGCCCTAAACCAAAAATGCCTCAGAGTCTGTCTTAAAAGCTTACCGACATTGTCATCTTCAAGAGCAAACATGAATTTCTCAAGGAACAAAAGTCTCCTCGGCCTCTGCCCTTTTTTCTCCAGGGCATCATCCTCTGCCCCACGGAGTCAGAGCTGGAAGAGGCCCTTCTCTAGCCAAACGTGTGGCATGGAAACCATCTGCCTTGGAGTCGCCATGGGCTCCAGTTTGAGAGGCAGACTGTGGTACAGTGGCTCATGCCCGTAATCCCAAGGACAGGGGAGGTTGAGGCAGGAGGATCATTTGCGGCCAGCAGTTCAAGACCAGCCCGAGCAACTAGTGAGGCCTACCTCCCCCCACCCCCAAAATAAAAATTAGTCAGGCACGGGGGCTTGTGCCTGCAGCCCCAGCAACTTGGAGGCTGAGACGGCAGGATCTCTTGAATTCGGGAGTTCAAGGCTGCAGTGAGTGACACGCAGGCCACTGCCCGGCGGCCTGGGCCACAAAGGGCAACCTCACCTCCAAAGAAAAGAACAGGCCTACTGCTAGGCCATGGCGGCCGCTGCCTTGCTAAGCTGTGTGTGGCCATATGCTCTCTGAGTGATGGCCAGGCCATGTTTCCTGGCTTTGGCCCCCTCCCCTACCTTAGGGAGGTGAATCTCCTCTTTCTCACTCTAATTTACTTTCTAAATAAACTATATTTTCCAATCTGAAATAATAATAGCGGTTTTAAAAAGTAAAAATGAAAATTTCCAAGTCCCACCCCGCCTCATTAGTAAGTCGGAATCCCTCGGTGAGGCATGGCTATACTTTGAACCAGCCTGGAAGGTGACTGTTCTGCACAGTTCCACAACAGAGTTGGGGAACCTCTGGTGTAATCCAGCCCTTTCCCCTTACAGAGTAGGCAAGGATAAAACAGGCACCACAGAGGTGAAAAGGGCTTGCCAAGGTCACATGCGTTAAGGTGACCAGACCTGGACAGGACGCTGCCTCTCTCACTGCCGGCACACGACCGGCTGGGAAGAGCCATAAGAGCCATGGGTCAACCAGGCACACTCTGCCCTGCCCCTGCCCCAACACTCACCCGCCTGTAGACATCCTCCCGGCTGGCCTCATACTTCTGCTGCATGCGCTCCTCCAGGAAGTAGATGCGCAGCTTGAGGCTGAAGTTCTCCTTCTTCAGGTCATTGAGGTGCTGGGACAGAGTGCGGTATCCATTAGACATGGTGGGCAACCCATGGGGAGGTGCCTGCCAGCTGCCCCCTCACCCCAGGAACCCAATGCCGTGGCACTACGGCATGAAGGGAGCCGGCAGGTCACTGCTGAGGCTGCGGACCCAGAGGCCAGGGCGACAGCGACATGGCCCCCGGGCTGCTGCGTTTTCTCCCGGGCTCTGGAAGGGGCTCCCTGCTCTGGGTGCGGGAGCGCAGCGCACTTTCCTTTTTTACCTCGGGGAGATATTTGTGGAATCCCTGACAGAGGAACATGCTGTGTGAACACAGACACAAGTGGTGTAACCCGACTCCAAGCCTGGGCTGGCTGTCACCCTCCTGGAGCCTCCCAGGCCCAACTGTAGGCAGTTAAGGCTTCTCAGAAGAGAGAAGGGACTGACCCCCAGAAGCGTCCAGGAAAGAAGGCAGGGGATTAACCCAAGGGGGCGGTGGGGTTGCAAAGAGGAGGAGGAAATGGACCACGGGGTGGGGTGGGGGGTGGCATTTCAATTCCTGTTGGTGGATTTGGACAACAAAACCCAAAGAAGTGTGGCCAGAAGCAAGAAAGGTTGCTACAGAGGAGACCACACGTACACAACATGGCCCACACAAAGGTAACCCCACGTCAACTATCCCTTTCTGTCAGGTGCAAATCTTAAAGAGCGACTCACCAGGAGAAGTCTCCAATTTCCTTTGGGGATCTAGAGTTCATCTCTAATCAGTTTCTTTGCACTTTTCCCTCCCAAGCCTTCCAAGCCCTGAGGCAGTTAAACTAGTAGCCTTTATTACCCTCCACACACACCATCATCAGGCAGCCACCTCCAAAAAAAGAGTAAATCTTTTAGCTCTGTGGTACTTGGCAACTCTGTTTATCAGTTATATAAGCTCACCAAGGAGCAAGGTCAAGAGATCCTTCCTCCACGGAAGAAGAAGGGATGGGTGGGCGAGCCTGTGGGAGGTCAAGAGTGAGAGAGGAAAAAGGGAGGAGCCGGTCAACCAGGAGCCCAGAGATCTCAGCCAGTCACTGGTTCTTAGCTCTGGCACCTGCCAAGTGGAGCCAGGCACACATCACCAGCTCCTGCTCCCAAAGCAATTTAAGATCCTTGAGTGACAGCTGCAACATTAGAGGAAGTATTATTTATACCACATACACGGGACATTGAAGGTGACTGGAGACAGCCCCACAGCATAGACACCAAATGTGGATCCCCAGTAGCAGCAATACTAGGTTGAAAAGATATCAATATTATCATCCAAGCTAAAGAAAACTAAAAATGCTTATACTTAATTCAAGCACTCACTTCTCAACCTTCCTGCTTTCATTCTGTTGATTTCCTTCCTAGACCTTCAAAATCTTTCTAATCAATACCTCCAGCGTACCCATCAGGTAGTACATTGGGCACGGAGAATACAAAGGTGAGTTCCAACCCTCAGAAACCTTTGTGGCCATACAGCTGATCATTATATGTTAAGATGTATGTTTTGTGCTATAATTTTCCAAACCTGTATTTTTCAACTTTTTACACTGTAAACTAGTACACATACAATCAGTCTGTCTCTCTCTCTCTCTCAGCTAAACTCAACATTTCACAAGTAATTACCACAATCGCTAATTGTGATGTACTCTGATAGTTTCTATTTCTCTTTCTTGGAGTGACCCAGTTGATTGATTTCATGACCCTGTAAGTTTCAGCCTGCAGTTTGAAAACACTTTTCAAATGTTGACTTTATGAGAACCCACAAGAAAGAGAAATTCTTACTGGATTGATCAGAGAAAGTTTCACTAAGACTTGAATTTGCACTCTGTATTTTTTTTTTTTTTTTTTTGGTTGCTTGGTAAATATGTTTATTGCCTTTATCTGCAAAATCCTTATAGAATATTGGTTCAGCTCTCAGCAGCCCACTCCTGAGCTCTGAGGAAGCTTGCCTCCCTTTGAGCTACCTGGCTCTTTCTTCTAGGCAAGGGACATTTGGGGACGATTCTACCTCTTCACTTCCTTATTGGGCTTCCTCACATAGACAGGGTTCTCTTGTACAGCTGCATCAGCTTTCTTATATATCTCCATGTCTGGAGTTATGCTGTTCTTTATATAATGAGAGAACTCTTTCCTGTAAGTATCTTCAACTTCTTCCATTAGGTAACACACATAATCTGCAACATTCTGACCTATGATGTGCTTTCAACGTATTTCTGCATTAAATCTCTTGCTCTCAGAAGCATAACCAGGAAATTGTTTGGTACTGTGGGGGACGGACAAACCTCCCTCCACAGCTCCCTTCAGAGCTACAAAAACGTTATGGCCAGTAGTAGTTCTGGGAAGGCCTGCATCCAAATAGCAGGTGAAAGCATCAGGCTGGCCGTCAGTGCTTTCTACACTGTACACATCTCTGGTCACCTCCACTTGGCCTTCATAGATCTAGTCCATGCCAAACCTATTGAGAATCCTGCGAGCCAGCAGCAGGCCAGTGCAATATGCTGCAGCATATTTCATCAGGCCATATTCCACTCCGTATTTTGGTAGTTCATGTGCATAAGCTGCACAGACCCTCAAACCCCCTTCTCTATGGGCATAAGCCATCTGACAAATGACATGTTTGTTATGTGAACTATCATCCTGTAGTTGGGTGTGTTGTGTTTCTTTTTATTACCAAGTGTTTCCGAGCATAGTCATCAGTTTTACTCTCTCATTTTCTTCACTTGTATCTCTTAAAGCAGGCCTTATTCTTGACAACTTTAACAAATTTCATCCTGTGGAACAAGGACACACTCCACAGCTCCACACCTGTATTTTTTTTTTCTTTTAAGTTGGCATCTCACTCTGTCGCCCAGGCTGGAGTGTAGTAGCATGCTCACAGATCACCACAGCCTCGACTTCCTGGGCTCAGGTGATCCTTCTGCCTCAGTCTCCCAGGAGCTGGGACAACAGGCACATGCCCACTACGCCTGCCTAATTTGTTACTATTTTTTATAGAGACAAGGTCTCGCTATGTGGCCCAGGCTAGTCTCAAACTCCTGGGCTCAACCAATCCTCTCGTCTCGGCCTCCCAAAGTGCTGGGATTACAGGCGTGAGCCAGAGTGCCGGGCATGAATTTACGCTTTGCCTTGACAGATAGAAAATGTTTGAGTGAGCGAAGTGGCCTCAGGAGGGCATAATTAGAACCGAGCATTCTCCCAAATAGATTTGGACTACAGACAGGCAACACATTTCTCACCATAGACAGTTGATAACTTAAGCCAAAATGTTCCTCACTTTAAAATATCTACACATTTAAAATTCATTTAACTATTCCCACTAACTCTGTATTCTTAGAATAAGATAATTTCTTTTGGCTTAGTTAGAGACAGTGAGGAAAAGAGAAAAGTCTAAATTAAAATTTAAAAGCTACTTTTCTGGTCCCAGTTCTGTTACTAAATCACTATGCGATGTCGGGAGTGCACTACCCTGGAGGTTTAACTGTCCTCATTATAAAATAAGATAGTTGAAAATGGACAATTTTTTAAAGGCCCCTCGCTAGTCTAAGCTCTTAGAGGAATAACCTTGTTATTATCACCGCTCTTTTGCTCAAGGGGAGCCAGGCTGCCAGATCCTCGCAGAGTGTTTAATCATGCTTCTGCTGTCTACTTGGAATCCCTCATCATGTAAGATAATTTCATAAAAGTTTTTTTTCTAACTCCCTGATGGACTTCCTGTCATAAAACTTTTATAGGAAGTAAAACTGCATATGAAATCTAAAATCCAACCTAGATTTTTCTGCATATTTATACCTATTTCCTTTCACTATGTTGTCCAGGCTGGTCTCGAACTCTTGGGCTCAAGCAAGCCTTTCACCTCAGCCTCCCCAAATGCTGAGATTACAGGCATTAGCCACCATGTCAAGCCTCTTCACACTTTTCCTTAGAGGTTTTAACCACTTTTAGGGCTATAATTTCACCTCCCAAACAATCCCCAAGTCTCCAGCCAAGTCTTCTCAGCCAAGATCTAGCCCCACATATCCAGCTCTGTGCTAGCTAGTCCATAGCAAGTCCCAATTCTCACAACGAATCTCATAGCAAATGCTTCTGCAACAGTCCCTAACATGTCTACTCAAATCCACTTCAGCTATTTGTATGGTGACCAAAGCGATCTTACCTCGCCATCGCCCTTACTTAGAGCCTTCAGAGACATCTCGTCACTCTTCGGATAAAGAGAAAACCCATCACATCTCGCCAAGACACACGACCTCCTTCTCCTTTGTCCAAGTCTTCGTTCAAATTTCATTCAGGCGGAGCCCTCCCTGCCACCTCAGCATGGAAAGACTTCTCTCTTCCCCTTTGAACTCCTGAGGCAAATAGCCACATTCAACAGGTGTTCATAGGCTGCCTTGTGGTGCTGCTTCTATTATCTGGAAGGGTTATTTACACTTTTTAGAGTCATTCGGCTTTTTATGTGTTTGATACGTCTCACTACTCTGAAGCTGCCCAAGGAAAGGACAACAACTAATACGTCTTTATAAACACCCCCGGCTTCCACAACAACACAAGAAGACCTCTCCAATCATTCACCCCACTGTGCTGTCACCGCCTGTCTGGTCACCTCAACCAGACTAAAGTGACATGTGATCAAAGAAGGTAAAGAGAGGATTGTGCAGCTAGCCAGACTTCTGACTAAAGTATTTTGGGTTTTTTTCTTAAGATACAGTGTTTCCCTCTCTTACCCTATTATCTTGGTTCACTATAACTTTGAACTCCTGGGGTCCAGTGATCCTCCCACCTCAACCTCCTGAGGTATAAGCCACCATGCCTGGCTAATTTTTAAAATTGTTTGTAGAGATGGGGGAGCCTCACTACAATGCCCAGGCTGGTCTCAAACTCTTGGCATCAAGCAGTCCTCCCACCTCAGCCTCTCAAAGTGCTGGGATTACACATGTGAGCCACTGCGCACCACCAGGTCAAAGTCTTTGAATCGTTCTTGACTCATTCCTTCTCCCACGTAATATCTCATCTGTAAATATTTTTATATATGTATTCCATCCACAACTGCTAACACAGGTACCTCTACTACTCTGGTCCAAGATACAATCATCCTTCCCTTAAGTTATTTGAACAGCCCCCTTAATTGGTGTCCTGCTCTCACCCTTGTTCCCCCATAGTCTGTTAACACAGCAGCCACAGTGACCCTGCTAAAATACATCAGTTACCCCTCTGCTGGAAACCTCCTGGCTTCCCTTCTGGCTTAGAGTGAAGAGTGATGTCCCTTCATCAGCCTATAAGGCCTGAGGCCCTACATGGTCTAGAACCTTCTCCTCACCCCTCCGATGACCTTCTCTACTTTTT